GCGTATTGGAAACAGCGTTGTCAAGTTCTTACATTTGTACCATCTCTGTTAACATTTTGCTGATATTTATTTATTCTTCCACCTCTTAATTAAATATATTAGCTTTTTCAAAAGATACAAATTTTTAAAATAAAACTTTCGTAATAATATATATTGTACAGGGTGGACCATTTTGGTTGTTTCTATAGGGTATCTAGGAAACCGTAAGAAATATTCAAATTTTGATACTGCAGTCTCGGGTTCATTTTTTGAAAAAATCACAATAGCGCAAACAGGTCGTGGTTATCTTGATCGGTTTCGAAGCTACAGGGGGATTCTCAAATTTTGTACTTTTTGAAGATGTTCGATAGTTTGTTTATTTCAGCTACTACGCAAAAATTAATTATACATTCTAAAGGTACTTTTCTGTGTAGAATGCAGTGGCCTAGTCAGACTTTTTTCGAAAAAAATATTTTTTTAGATATTAACTATACTTCTGTTTTTTTAAATATAACCCTCTGTATATTTTTAAATTTCCTGATTCAGCTTGGCATGGGTTTCTCGAAAATATATAACACCCTATATTTATTTTCACTATTAACCTCAACATTTCAATTTTTTCTTAAAATATCGTAGTAGGCCGCGCAGAGTAACAAAGTAAACGGTTGTCATGGTGATCGGGATATACCTTTGATGGATGCGTGACATTTCATTTCAACAGATTGATTGTGTGTGTATTTTAAATAATAAGAAATGAGTAATTTTGAAAATTTCGAGAAATATAATATGTTATATTAAGTCTAAGAAATATAAGCAAATGGCAGCTGATTTATATTTTGAGCGGTATTTTGCGCGCGAGCAACCAAACCCAGCCATTTTTAAAAGGTCAGAAAATAGCTTAATTCTAGCTACCTTAATCACCTAATATCACTCCCTTGGACTTCTTTCTCTGGGACTTTCTGAAAAACGAAATTCATCGAAATGCAAATAGAACATTAGAAGAGTCACAAGATAGTTTTGTTGTGGCTTTGCAAAGTGTAACCAACATACACATTCGAAATGCTGTTAGCGGCGGCGTGCAGAGACGGTTCCAACTCCGTCTAGATAATAATGGGCAGCAGTTTGAACATTTAATGTAGTCTTTGTGTTTGAAGCCTGATTGAAGTAACCTGTTGAGTTTGTATTAAAATATATGTTCTTTTGTTTCCGTCACACTTATTTTTTATTTGCTTCGTATGTTCGAATTTATTTAATTGCTGATACATGGATTAATTTGAAAATAGATATTCGCTTGTTTCCTTTAATACTCGGCATGACCTACCAAGAGGAAACTCGATATCTTTAAATAAATTGGAATTTTAAAGTTAATAGTGAAAATAAAAAACTGAATCAGAAAATTTAAAAATATACAGGGGGTTTTATTTAAAAAAACATAAGTATAGTTAATATCTAAAAAAATATTTTTTTCGAAAAAAGTCTGACTACGCCACTGCATTCTACACAGAAAAGTGCCTTTAGAATGTTTCATTTTTGCGTAGCTGTTGAAATAAACAAACTATCGAACATCTTCAAAAGTACAAAATTTGAGAATCCCCCTGTAGCTTCGAAACCGATCAAGATAGCCACGACCTGTTTGCGCCATTGTGATTTTTCAAAAGAACCCGAGACTGCAGTATCAAAATTTGAATATTTCTACTGTTTCCTTGCCATATACCCTATAGTAAAAGCAATAAAAATGCTCCACCACAACCTGCAATAAAAAAGTATGGAACTGATACGGAACGGAAACTTACGTATAGCGTGAATACAATCAAAAATACGGAACGAATATGGAATGGATATGGAAAGGAAACGGAAGGTATAGTGAGAATCAACCTTTAACCGGCCAGGACATGACACTAAAAACATTAGAAGATCAAATCTATTTTTCCAAGGTTCCTTGATTAAGAATTATTGTTTTTAATATAGCCTAGATACTCTAGATTGAAATTTAAAATACAATTTTTTATTAAACGAGAAAGTCAAAAGTTAACATATGATATGTCATTCTATTCAGAATATTATTTTCTATCGAATAAAGTAAAAAAATACCGAGGGTGCCATTTAAAAATCAAAAGTTGTAGTTATTTCCGGTGAAACAGGAAGTGACCAAAAACAATTGAATTCGCCAATAAATCCCAATTTATGTCATATACTAACATACCAAATCTCGTTTTTTTTAACTGAAAAAAAAGTTATAGGGGTGAGCCACTTTTGAGACGCACCAGGTATATATAAGTGTCAAATTCAATGAGCCTAATCATACTTTCTCGATATATAATTACTTGCAAGGCATCTTACAAGGTATTTACTTATATTTTATATTATTTGAAACGTGTAAAATTGTTTAAAACATTATTTGTAGCGTTTGAAAAAAAAATAGCATGTTCTATTCGGAGTAAAATTGACTTTTTGTGCATCGTCTGTATATCAAACGTACAGCCTCGCCACAAAATCTCTATACAGATTGTTAACTGGACAGTTACATATAGGGGAACAGAATGGCAACGCTGCCTATTGAGAACGCATGCACTTATAGGGTTTTCTGCCGACTCCTCCCGTCGCGTCTATCGACGAGCGGGCCGAGGTTGCCATATTTCAACCATAAAGCTCTTGCCGCAAGTAATAAACAAATTAACAACCTGCATATATGCTTAGGCGTAAAAGTGCTTTACATTTATGCCTAGGCCGGCATAGGCATTAAAATGACTTTTGCATATTGTCATTCACGTCGCAAAAATTAATACCTACTTTTGTGACGTTTGAAAAAAAAAACTACGTACATATATTTGTTTCCGATACAATACGGGATAAATAATTATGGAATTAAATGACCTAAAACTATCAGTAGGATTATTAAACTTCCACTAATCAAAGTTTATTGCATTCCGTGTAAAGCGGCAAATTGAACTACTCGTTCATCAATATCGACTCGCAACACTAGAAATTAATAAAATATGTTAATTTCGACGATATTTCAGCTGCACGTTTATGTTTATGGGGCCTTAGTTTAATTCATGAATATTTCATCGGTTTTTCGGTATGGAATCACTTCATTTTCACACGCCGCGGTTCGGTGTTTTACCCGCTTTATAATATATGATGATTGGGATAGTGTGGTTTCGGTTTCAAGGATCGTTAAATGTTAAATAATTCCTTTGGTAGAAAAATATTTAGACAGTACTAAGACATAATATCGTGGTAAAAAAGGTTTATATAAGCACAGTTTTTGATTGATTCAGAATGTTCTAACCAATAGTTGGAGTCAAGAATGGAATCTCAATTTACAATTAAATTTACGATTGAGAAAGAAAAAAATCTCTGTCTCATGTTTAGATATGTTCTTGTAAGTAGGAATGGAGATCTACTTTTTTTTATTTTGAAGTTCGGACCTTTCACAAGATGCTTAAATATATATAATAATAATTTTTGACGTGTCCATTTACTTTTTGACATGTCCATTTACTTTAAAAAACGTGTCCATTTACTTTTAGTACATAGTAATTTTCAGCAATCGTGTAACTTTTTTATTTGTAAAAATGTTCACATACTTTTCTGGGAAGGGAATATAGCAGAAACGTTAAGAAAGTTTTTTTCAAACTACAATCAATTATTTCTTACCGGATTTCAATTTTATAAAATTTAACAATTTATCAACCTCGACGAAGCTGCCTTATACCCTTCCACGTCTCTTAGCAATGTGTGTTCACAGTTACTCGGTTTATTTCATACATTTGGCAACGTTTTTACTGTTCTCTTTTTGTTCGTTACATTATAAATGGATTGTACTCTTCTTAGATACGGAAATCTCGACCCTATTCATGAGAAAATGTATTTCAGTAGCTAAATGATTGTCAAAATAGCTAATTATTTTTTAGACTACATACTTATACCGGGTGCGTCTCAAAAGTGGCTCACCCCTATAACTCCTTTATTTTTTCAGTTAAAAAACGAGATTTGGTGTGTTAGTATATGACATAAATAAGGATTGATTGACGTATTCAATTGTTTTCTGTCACTTCCTGTTTCACCGGAAATGACTACAACTTTTGATTTTTAAATGACATCTTCGGTATTTTTTTAATTTATTTGATAAAAAATGACACCCTGAATATAATGACATATCATATGTCAACTTTTGACATTTTCGCATAGAGTTTATTTGAAATTATAACTTGCGGTTTGTAACGAAAATTTGATGTGTGGTATCAAATTATTCGTAAACAAAACATGAGTGTGGTATCAAATTATTCGTAAAAAAATTCTTTTTCCAAATATGCTAATGAGCCACCCTCGTTCCATTTGAAAAAATTGAGATATGATTAAAAATACGATTGGAGCATTTTCTAACTGGCCAGGATAAGTCACTAAAAACATTAGACGACCCAATCTATTTTTCCAAGGCTCCTTGATTAAGAATTAGTGTTTTTAACATAGCCATGGCACTCTAGATTGAAATTTAAAATACGATTTTTAATTAAGCAAAAATGTCAATAGTTGGCATATGATATGTCATTCTAATCAGAATGTCATTTTCTATCGAATAAAGTAAAAAAATACCGAAGGTGCCATTTAAAAATCAAAAATTGTAGTCATTTCCGGTGAAACAGGAAGTGACCAAAAACAATTGAATACGTCACTAAATCCTAATTTTTGTCATATATTAACATACCAAATCTCGTTTTTTTATCTGAAAAAATAAAAAAGTTATAGGGTGAGCCACTTTCGAGACGCACCCGGTATAACAACAATTTTAGTTATTGATTATTTTAATAGAATTATAAACTCTTTATATATTAATTTTCTTTCAATTTGCAAAAATATGATTCGTATTAATATACCTATTCCCTAATTGCTTCTCAATATTAGTACTAATAACATGCATATTAATCCTTATTGCTTACATCCATTACTAAAATCATGTTATGAATAAGAGCAGTTTGAATAATTGTCATAATTAAACAATTTTTTTATGTTTTCAGGGACTTAAGTCACAACCAGATCTCAGTAATAGGCAAGAAAACTTTAAAAGGACTGAATAACTTGAAGAACTTGTAAGTATATTCTATTCATTAAAAAACGCAATTAAATAAAATTTGATTTTGAAAAATTGTCAATCAAACAAGAAAAAATGTAACTACTTTTTTTTAGTATTACATTTTATATAAAACTATTTACAATAACTATTATTCCAGGCTTCTCGACAACAACAAATTAACATGTATCGACGATTCGTCTTTAAAAACTATGAAGGATCTCGAAGTTCTGTAAGTAAATAAAAAACAACTCAAAGAACGTCTATTTCAAACTGTTTTCTCTTGTATTTCCAGAACCTTAAACAACAACAATATCACTTGGTTGGGAAAAGACATGTTTTCGAACATGTTCCGCTTAAGGACGTTGCGATTGGCCGACAATTTGCTGCATTGCGACTGCAATTTGTCCTGGTTGGCCAGATATTTGAGGCACTATCCTCGATTGGCCCAGTACAGCAGGTGTTATTCACCGGGACACCTGAAAGGACAAAATTTGGCTGATGTCCAAGATCACGAGTTCAAATGTTCCGGTATGGTTTCAATTAGTGATGGGATCACTCGAGCGAAATTTCGCTCGAGTACTCGATGTGAAATAACCGACATCGCTCGATTATGAACGAGCGATGCAATTGATATTGACATCCGATTTTAATGTGACATACTCGATAAAAAGCCGAGCTAATTTTTTCCACAACCATTGCAGGTACCTAGCAAATTTATATGACGCCGTATATACAGGGTGGTCCGAACTGTATTCCGGAAACTCCGGCAGCATATTCTACAGATCAAAATAAGTAAAAAGTTCGTATAAATGTATATCCTAAAATGCTTAGTTTCGGAGATACAGGGTGTAGAAGTTTGATTTTTATTTCGATTTTTTCCAAACAATTTCTGAAGTAACTGTATTCTGAAGTACAATTTCTGAAGTAAGTCAATATTTGGATCAAAATTGGTATATGGGAGTTTTGTGACACGAGAAATTTTATTTTGATGTCAAAATTACTCCTATTTGTAGGGGGCGCCACCTATATGTGTTTTAACCTTTGAATAAGAAGACTAAGGAAGGAGCATATCAAAAATCTTAGGTACACCGCGATGGGCCTCAAATATGACCGATTTAAATTCCGGTTTATCAGTGTCGTTCTAATTTTATTTAAAAAATGTAAAACTATGATGTAGGGTGGTGGACGTGGGGTAGACTCAATAATTCGTTGTTTATTTAACGTTGTGAATAAATGTTGGTAGTTATTAAAATTGTTATAAAAATATATAATTCTAATAAAAATAGATAAGTTATAATAAGTATTTATTACCACAAAACATCCGATACGCTACTGAAGCAGGTAAGTCAAATTAACGTATCTAAATTCTTTGACATCTAATCTTTGACAAGTAATAAATAAAAGCTAAAATGCAAGAAAATATGTAATTTAGTTAATTTAAGTGAATTTCATAAATGATCGGTTTACTACACGTATGTATATTATATAGTCACTTACTAGCGAAAAGTTGTTCCATTATTTCACTCAATTTTTTTTGCCGAGATCTACCGCACGCTACACAACCAACTATTTAGAGTCTTTTCGATAAATCGCGATAGTGTCACTGTTTATTTAAGTTCTGCCACAATTTCCATCTAGATTTACTACCTTTATACAACTATCAGTAGTAGAATAAATAACAAATAACATAAAAATAAGCTCCGTGAAGACTGACAAATCCACAAAATTTCAAATCAAATTCAAATGTGTCAAATGAATCGTCAAACAGAACTGTCAAGGATCCCCACCCTAGAGTGAATTTTTATGGCGCTTTTCCGCCCACCATGCATGAATACATGGATAGCATTATGCTCCTTCCTTAGTCTTCTTATTCAAAGGTTTTAACCGTTTTGAAGAGTAATAATTTTTCGACCGTACCTGTATAAAACCACTGACTAAAAAAATATACATTTCCATGACTTTTTATGTAAAAAATGTGTCTTGGTAAAAATCGCTACGAGCAACCGTTCTCAAGATATTTACAATGGAAATAGTCAATACATGTCATTATTGACAAAAAATAAGCACACGTTGAGTATAGTTATTTGACTGAAATAATAATTTTTTATTTTTTTAAATTAATCATAAGTTTTTCTGCGAAAAATGATGATTAAACAGTTTCTTTGAACTTTGACACAAAAGATTTCATATTTATGATTTCAGTCTAATTACTATTTAGTCAACATGTTTAATTGATGTCAATGATGACAGGTATTGATAATTTCTGATTCTAAATATCTCGAGAACCATTACTCGTAGCGATTTTCTAAGAGACCTTTTATGTAAAAAATTTATATTTTTGCTCGGTAGTTTTATGCAGGTACCGGCTGAAAAGTTATTACTCTTCAAAACAGTAAAATAATACACGTAGGTGGCGCCACCTACAAATGGGAGTCATATTGACATCAAAATCAAATTTATCATATCAAAAAACACCCATCCACCAATTTTCATCCAAATATTCACGTTGCTTCAAGAAATTATTTGGAAAAATCGAAATAAAAATGAAACTTCTACACCCTGTATCTCCGAAACTAAGTATTTAGGACCTACATTTATACGAACTTTTTACTTATTTTTATCTGCAGAATATGCTGTCGAAGTTTCCGAAATACAATTCGGACCACCCTGTATATCCGTTGCGTATCTGAGAAACAAAATTTTACGACCTACATCGACAATGCTTTGAAATAAACAAAATCAAGCGAATCGCTCGCCGCTTGCTACTTGCCATTCATCACTGCGCACGCAACTTACTGCTTGGCGCTTAGCGCTAACGAGTACTTACAACAACAAGAGACGGGTGAAAACCCGTATTTTTAAATACAAGTGGTATTTCGCTCGAGCGATCACTCGATTATTGCAATCGCTTGAAACTCGAGTACTCGATTATTGTGAAATTAATCGGTTTTTCCCATCACTGTAGAACTAGTAGTATTAGAACAGGGATCCCAGTTGATACAAAACCTATAAATATAAATAGTATTATAAAAAAATAATCGTGAAGGAAGTGAAAAAGTTATCTGGTTTCTTTACCCTTAGAATTGATGTATTAAATTTTCAAATATTCAACTGGCTGACTTAAGTTAAACACCATATTAATATTAATACACATTACTGTCTAATTTGAAAATTTGAAACAATATTTGTAACTAAACTATGACATCTAATATTCTTTATAATGAAATACAATGTCTTCTCGACAATAAATTCCATACAAAAATAACCTTTAGTCACGTTGAGAGCTCTATAACTTCTTAAATTGTTCCCTAATTTTGATAAAACCTTTTGCAGTGTGTAGACTAGTGTGTATCTCTAGACTCTGTAGACCTTGGCGTCTTGGATTGTGATCTTGAATTTTGTTTATAAAAAAAATATTAATTGCCTGATCATTATACAGACTCTCGACTGAACTATAAGAAAACATATCTTTTTATCCTTAAAAACTTAACAAACTATCAGAAATTGTAGCTTCATTAAATTTTGGGCTCAGTAAAACCTGATCTCTACACAATTTACAGTTTTATGATTCATATCAATATTTGCTTCTTGAGAGAAAATACAAATCATAAAAATGTAGTTTGTAATGTAGTGTATCAGGGATCTCTGTGGGAATTATTTATCAAAGTTGGCAACTAATCTTTACATGTTTTTTTTGTTAGGTCTTGCTGAAAGAGCCATAAATGGAGAATGTGTAAATGAGCCTCAATGTCCTCATCCGTGTAGATGCGCTGATGGGATTGTAGACTGTAGAGAAAAAGGACTGACCAAAGTGCCAGATCATTTACCAGAAACTACGACTGAGATGTAAGTCTTCTCTTAATAGATCCTAGTTTCATAACACCTATTAAGGAGTTCATTTTTTATTTATAAAAGCAGCATCCATTTTTTAATTGATAAAAATATATATTTTATTTTAACTTAAAATAGATTGTGATTTTATTCTAGTATATCGTTAGTTATATTGTTTTAATAATAACGAAAAACTAGAAATTATTATGTATTAGGCCAAATATTTTGAAGATTCTTAAAAGTTTTATCCATATTATGTATCCAAATTTTACATTGATTGAACGCGTTGTATATGTATAATTTTTAAATTGATATCTTTTACTGATATATTATTTATTCCAGACGATTAGAACAGAACGAAATAACCAATATTCCGAACAAAGCTTTCGCAATCTACAAACGCCTCCGGAGAATGTAAGTTAAGACCATTTCTTTGTTGCTTTAATTTAATTTTGAAACAAACTTTCAGAGACCTGAGTAACAATAAAATATCGAGAATCGCGCCAGATGCTTTTGTTGGATTGAAAGGCCTTACGTCACTGTAAGTATCCGTATTTTCTTAGTCATAAAAAGTTGTAATATCACTCAATATTGAACAATATATTTAATTCAACTATACTTTTTTCTACAAACGTCTATGAAGGTGTGTCATTTTAAGGCCTACTTTCATCACAGCTTATTCAGCAGTCAGCTTCAATTTTGTCCATTTTAAAGCAAGCTTCAATGGAGGTTAGTACCCCACTTGTTTGATAATTTCCATGCAAGTGATCATAAACTGATCAAACTGATTATGAATAAGCTGTGCTTTTAGTGTTTAAAAGCTTTTACACTTTTTGTTCAACGTAATGTAAATTTAGCTCTGGCATTAATAGTTATTTATTTTCATCACTGATAACAAAATATAAATAAGTACAGAAGTTTTGTATCACAACACTATGTGCTAAAATGCTTGATTATTTGCTATTATTGTGAGTAAAGAACATGATGATTATACAGGGTGGTCCGAATTGTATTCCGGAAACTTCGGCAGCAAACTCTGCAGATAAAAACAACTAAGAAAGTTCGTATAAATACATGTCCGAAAATGCTTAGTTTCCGAGATACAAGGTGACAAGGTATAGAAGTTTCAGTTTTATTTTGATTTTTTCCAAATAAATTCTGAAGTAACGTCAATATTTGGATGAAAATTGGTGTCTGGGAGTTTTATGACATGAGAAATTTGATTTTGATGACAATATGACTCCTATTCCTAGCGGGCGCCACTTACATGTGTTTTAACTGTTTTGAAAAGTAATAACTTTTCGTCCGTACCTGTATAAAACTACTGAGAGGAAAAATATACATTTCCTAGACTTTTTTCGTAAAAAATGTCTCTTGGTAAAAATCGCAACGAGCAACCGTTCTCAAGATATTTAGAATGGAAGTAGTCAATACGTTATTATTGACAAAAATAAACATGTTGAGTAGATATGTAGTTATTTGAATAAAACGATAAATTTGGGAACTTTTGATTTTTTTAAATTAATCATAAATTTTTCTTCGAAAAAATGATGAAAACAGTTTCTGTTGGTCTTTTGGTACAAAAAAATTACAAATTTATGATTTCAGTCCAATAAGTATTTAGTCAACATGTTTAATTTATGTCAATGATGAGAGGTATTGATAATTTCGATTCCAAATATCTCGAGAATCATTACTCGTACCGTTTTTTACCAAGAGACCTTTTTTACGTAAAAGACGTCGTAAATGTATATTTTTACTCAGTAGTTTTATACAGGTACGGAGGAAAAGTTATTACTCTTTAAACCAGTTAAAAAAATATGTAGGTGGCGCCCTCTACAAGTAGGAATCATATTAACATCAAAATCAAATTTCTCATTCCAAAAAACTTCCAGACACCAATTTTCATCCAAATATTGACGTTACTTCAGAAATTATTTGGAAAAATCGAAATAAAAATGAAACTTCTACACCCTGTATCTTCGAAACTAAGCATTTTCGGACATTCATTTATAGGAACTTTTTTACTTATTTTTATCTGCAGAATATGCTACCGAAGTTTTCGGAATACAGTTCGAACCACCCTGTATAAATAGAAAAACATATTCGATCATTTTGTCACCCTATCAAATTATTATTTCAGCATAAATAATTAAAAACTATAATATCGACGAATTCTATCAATGATGCAAAAATGCTTTTATTTACACCTTTATTGACGTTTGTATAAAAAGAAGAGTTTATATGTGCTAAAAGTAATGTTATTTTGATTCAGCTAGAATTCTTCACCTGGAGCTAGATTAGTCCAATTTCATATTATGCTCGTGCTCATTTATTGTACTCATCCTTTTTTTGTGTAATAATATTATTGTTTTTATTTCTAGTGTACTGTACGGAAACAAAATCAAAGAACTACCAGCTGGTGTGTTCCAAGGACTGACTTCCTTACAACTTTTGTGAGTTTTCCATGAAACATAACAACA